CGTATAGGTGCGAATAGTCAGTTCGTTGTATTATTATAAGGAGGCGGTCAACCAAGTATTTCAAAATAAACGTAGCCCACGATAGACTAATATTACTAGTAGCCTAATAGACCTAACCTGGGCCTATCATTGCCATCATTGCCTTTTTCACAATTTCAGATGACTCAATATTGAAAGAGATCCTAAGTCCATTAATATTATTAAATTATCAAAAGAGACTTCCGATGGGCTTGTGCACAGTCCACATAGTTTATTTATTGTCATTAGTTATTTTTATTAGACTCACCATTCTCCGTGTAGGCCTGGTTTTTGCGAGTGGACCTTAGGGGCACCTATCGCAGAGTCTAAATAGGCCGTGGCCCGGCCTCTGGCCCGCCACCTAGCGGCAAGGAAAAATCTTAGCCCGCAGCTCAAGTTACTTGCCGAACTCTGCACTAGAGCCATTAGTTACGAATTTATTCCCGAATTCGGTCCGCACCCCTGAGCGGATTCAGGGCCTAGTGTGAACGAAGCTTAAGAGGGTCGCGTGGTCCAGTAAGTCCCATTTTTTTTGCATCATGTGTTTCAGCTGGGTATGCATGCACCATTTACCTGGGAAGAGATGGCATCAGGATGCAGTGAAGACATGCCAGTGGAGGGAGTGTGATAATCTGGGAAATGTTCTGCGGGGAAACCCTGAGTTTGGGAATTCAACTAAAGTCAGTTTGATGGAGCTGTTTTGGCAGTATGAGGGGGTCCTTCACAATATTTAGCAGGTGGTTTTAATCTTGAGGCTAATAGGTATATGACTTATAGAGTTCATTTAGGGCTTCGTGTTGGCAGTCAGAAGGTAACCTGCCGTCATTTTCATATTACCCCAAAATACAAAAAAAATGGATAGAAACTTGAGGGGGAATATGCCTGTATTTTGATTAAAATGAGGTGTAGTGAAATGTATTTTGGAGAACTTAATCTAAAAATGACACCAATATGGTGAGACACGTCACCAGATAACCAAATTATGATAATATTCTTCCTTTTTTCCTCTTTATTGCAGTGGCTGGGGCTGAGAGACTGAATCTGGTGGTGTTTGGGAGGAGAGGAGCAGGGAAGACTTCTGCAGTAAATGCCATCCATGGACAGAGGGAGTCCAGTGTGGATCCCAGCCCCTCCTCAGTGTATGAGAGCAGAGAGGGAGAAGTGTGTGGCCACCTGGTCACTGTGGTGGAATTACCTGCGCTGTATGAAGCTGAGGTCGCCATCTCCACTGTGTCTCACATCGTTGCTTCTCTCTGTGACCTTCGAGTCCATGCCTTCCTCCTGGTCACTCCAGCTGCTCCCCTAACTGATGAAGACAAGACAGAAATCATGTGGATTTAGGAGATATTTGGCTCAAGAGTCACTGATTTCATTATGGTCCTTTTTATCCATGAAACTCCTACTACTGAAGCAGTTTTTCCATTTCTGCTGCAGAATACATACATTCAAGAACTTCTGAAGATCTGTGGTGGCAGGCATTTTATTTTCAATAATCGGAACACTATGAACAACCCAGTGGTTCCAAAGCTTCTGGAAGCTGTAGAGGAGATGAATAAAACAACAGAAAACTGCTTTTCTCTGGATATGTACTGGGAGGCCCAGCTGGAGAAGATGGTTCAAAAACTAGAGGCCAAGCACAAGAATGAACTAGAAGAGAAGAACAGAAAGATCAGAAAATTACAACAGAAAATTAAGGGCGCACCACTGGGTGTGTGTGTGTGTGTGTGTGTGTGTGTGTGTGTAACAGGAGGGGTGGTCTTTCTCCTCTTTAGCCCGGAGGACACGATGCCCATAATTTCCAACAAGAATGTCAAATTTGGACTCGTCTGACCACAGGACACTTTGCCATTTTGCTACAGTCCATTTTAAATGAGCCTTGGCCCACAGAACACTGCGGCGCTACTAGATCACGCTTAACAATGGCTTCCTTTTTGCATAATAGAGTTTTAGGTGGCATCTGTGGATGGCATGGTGGACTGTGTTTACAGACAGTGGTTTCTTGAAGTATTCCTGGGCCCATTTAGTAATGTGACAGAATCATGCCGGTGAGTGATGCAGTGGCGTCTGAGGGCCCGAAGATCACGGGCATCCAGTAAAGGTCTTCGGCCTTGTCCCTTACGCACAGAGATTTTTCCAGATTCTCTGAATCTTTTGATGATGTTATGCACTGTTGATGATGAGACCTTCAAAGCCTTTGCAATTTGACGTTGAGGAACATTGTTTTTAAAGTATTCCACAATTTTTTTACGCAAGCCTTCACAGGTTGGAGAGCCTCTGGCCATCTTTACTTCTGAGAGACTCAGCCTCTCTAAGACATCCCTTTTATAGCCAATCATGTTACAAACCTGATGCCAGTTAACTTAATTACTTGCTAAATGTTCTTTCAACTGATTATCTTATATATTAATAGCTTTTTCAGCCCTTTTTTGCCTGTGTCCCAACTTTTTTTGAGACCTGTTGCAGCCAGAAAATTTGAAATGAGCTCATTTTGTGGATGAAAATGTAAAATGTCTCAGTTTCAACATCTGAAATGTTATCTATGTTCTATTATAAATAACATATTGGCTCATGTGATCTGAAAGTCATTGCATTTAGATTTTATTCACAATTTATACTTCGTCCCAACTATTTTGGAATTGGGGTTGTAGTACCTCTGGGTAATTTCAGCCTAATATGCATGACTTTGGACTGTAGGAGGAAACCAGTGCACCCAGAGATCATCTGCATAGACACAGGGAGAGTGCAAAGCCCCCAACTAAAATGCTATAGCAATACTGGAATTCTAGAACAGATGGTAAAATACCGTGGTCAGACAGATGGAATTTATTTATTTACAGTAGAAAGATAGAAATCCACATGCAGAAAGGGCACAGCTGCGACACACAGAACACATTAGATAAGTCCTGCCTATGGAGTTGGGGCAGTCCCTGCTCCTTTTTGTCAAAAAGTAGAAATTCTTTATTAGATTTACTAACAAATATACACTGTTCAAAATGGGATTGATATATTAAATACAATATACTGAATGATTGGCTGCATTCAACATGTTTCATATGATACACAAATTGGCTCACAAAGACCTCTAATCTTGGTGAATTATCTAGGTCTAAACGTGTTTTAAGTCAGGAAACAGCAAACATGTTTTGGAGTATTTGCACAAGGTTCCTGCCCAATATAATACTCAATAGCTGGTTACACAAACCTTAAAAGCGCAAATTGGACTTCTCATGATTTGACATTGGTCTGTATGAACTTAAACCAAAACTAATTTGCAGAACTGCTTTAATTCACGTACAATGTTAGGTTTTCAACCTAACTGCTTGTTTCAGATTTTGCTGCAGCATCTCTGTTGGTTCGAGTAAAAACTTTGACTTGGCAACTTCAAAGCTATTTTCAAAGCTGTTGAATTTCACTACACAACAGTTACAGAAAAACTGTTACTTGTTGAGCAGTTGGAATTGTGGTCAATCATCTCAGGAATGGCCTGGCTGCCAGAATTTTTCTAGAGTGCTGTTTTGCATATTGCGGTCCACAAGGTTCAAGGACTGCTGGTTTTCCACCCTCCCTTTACCTGCGAGTCAGGTGTGATAGCGTCTGGACAATCATTTGCAGAGCCTGTTCACATAATGGTTTGGAAGGGAAGAAAATCAGGGCTGGATTTAGATGCAAAGGTCAGATTTGGGGATTTGTGCTCTTGAGGCTCAGCGACACGTCATCGACAAAGTCTGGACTCTTCACCATTACTCAAGATAAGATCAAGGTGTTGATGCGAAATGTGCAGTTTTTACAGAAAGCTGCTTTTTTAAAAGTCCAAAGGCCATGACTTTTTTATTAATGCTTTTCACTCCTCCTCAAGTTGGCCAGTCATGCCCAAGCTTCAATGCTTATCATAATCTCAACTGTCAATGTGGGATAAACATAACCCCTCCTCACAAGCATGTGATGTCAACTGCCACATCTAATCATACCTTTCGCATGTGATGGTTACAGATATGAGGCAGGGGGAAATCATTAATTCAGAGATATTAATGTAATGTAAAAGACACTTAACATGTGTGGCACCATCTTATATATATTTTTATTTCTATTTGTATTATGTTTTTATTTGTGTATGTAAATTATGGACATTCGTTGTCAATAAACTGCTACTACCGGACACCAGACTATGGGATCCCATTGTGTACCTGTTCAACATCAGTCTAAACAGCATGTGCTAACTAGCAATCCCCGGTGGTCTCAGTTACTAAAGATATTAAAACTGATCACATGAACATGTGTTCCAGTCACACCAATGCTGTTCCTGAGGGGGACCAGATTACTGCCTCTCCCATCAGTTTGTTTGCACTCAGTCTCAATTTTATGACTGTCCAGTGACGGTTAAAAGAGTTGCCCTACAGACATGAGCCCCAGTATTTTCCTTGTATTATTCCGTGTGCAGTTCCTCCTGTTTTCTGCGAAAGCTCAAATCGTGGATGAAGCAAACAAAATGCTTGGGTCATCATTGCTTGTTGCTTTTATTAAAAATGTTAATATCAGGACATGCTGTATCTGTTGTGAAGGCTGATATCATGGGAAAAAAAATCAACTCGGCTTTATTGCTGGGTCCTTTTCTTATGTTAAATTTTACAGAAGCATTTTGCATAAGGTGCATTGTCAATGAAATTCACCACTGTAATTAAAAAAATACAATAACATTGTTATCAACGTAATTTAGCCCACAAGTTTAGCTGGGACAAACAGTGGAGTCCATCCATTCTGCTCACTAGAGTTGCAGCGGGAGCTGCAGCCTATCTCAGCTGACTAAGGGGAAAAGACAGGGATCCACTCTGGACAGCTCATAAATCCATTGCAGGGTGTGCACACTATTCACTCACAGGCAGATTGGTGTCTCTAAGTAGCCTGATCTACATGTCTTTTGATTGTGGGAGGAAACTGGAATACCCTGAGAAAACCCATGAGAACATGTTTACTCCTCACAGAAAGGCCTTAGGCCAAATTTGAACCCACAACCGTTTTGCTGAGAGGCAACAGTGCTAACCACTGCACCACCATGCCTAAGATTTAAATGGGTAAAAAATGTTATAAGGCAGATGTCATGCTGTAAGGGCTTTTTCTGTGCACTGAATAAAGGGCACTGAAAAATGGAAAACATGGACTGGATTCTGATGTGAAGACAAAATGGGTTTTATTATGCCTTTGGTGTGGCACAGTAAAGGCAGATGCAAAAACAAACAGGAAACGAGGTTCCAAATACTATTACAATAATGTGTTGAACTATAACTTCAGTAACAGTCCTTCTAGTAATTGAAACAAACAGGAAACAATGTTCCAAATAGAACAATGATAAAGGTGCTGTACACTTACAATAAGGACAGCGGTATAATATTGTGGCGTTCCTGCCAGCATTATTGTGTTGCATATCTGGGCCGCTGTGATTGGCTGGCTACATTCACATCGAGGGAGCCAATCACTGTGGCCCAGTGGGCTTTTGTAAGGGATGGCAATATTCCGTTTGAGTCTGTTGTGTTTTGTGTTGTTAGGAGGAGCAGAGTCCTCCCAGAAATTGTTGTGTGCTGGAAAATGCAGAGAATGCCCGAAGGTTTAATAAACGGAAGCTCCCTGGGGGTGATTCGTAAAACTCCTGCCCCCACTCTGCGTCCACTTCCTTCAGGGATTGCCACAGTGGTGTAAGAAGTGGGATTCGAAGATCTACAGCGTGAGATCCGGTGACTGGAGAAGGAGTTAGCGAGCCGGGGCAGGCGAGGAAGAGCAAATACGGCCCCAGGTGAGGGAAGCCGAATCCCAGCATCAGGCCTGCTGATGGAGGAAGGAACGCGGTCACTAGCATCGAATGTACCAGCTCCATCAGTTGTGCCATGGGGAGTCAAGCTGCCGAGATTCGATAGCTCATCGCCATGGGAGCCTTACCATGCACAAATGAGACTGATTGCACAGCACAGTGGATGGACCGAGGCGGAGACAGCAATGTGTCTGACAGCAGCCCTAGAGGAGCCAGCGCTACAGACTCTGCTGGACCTGGACTCCAATGAGCAGAGCAGCCTGCAGGCAGTGGTTGCAGCACTTGAACGGTAATGTGGGCGCTGCGAATCCATCGAGCTGCACAGGAAGAGGATGACGCACCGCCGCCGCCAACCTGGGGAGAGCTGGGGAGTTGTGGCTGCCGACCTGAGGCACCATGCCCACCTGGAGTAGCCAAACTTTGGGTCAAGGGGGTAAGATGAGCTGGCTCTGCATGCATTCCTGCAGTCCCTCACACCTGAGAGACTCCGGCACCATGTAATCCTGATGGCACCTAGCTCCCTCGATGAAGCTCTGTGGGAGGCCGAACAAGCGGCGGACATCATGAGAGAAGCCCCCACTGCAGAACGGAACAAGCCTGTGGACTACAGCGAGGAGGAGGGAGAAGTGCGCTGGACATGCGCTCTGCCGAACCGGCACCACACCCCGATTGGATGACCAGACGAAGACCGGCAGCGCTGCTACCGTTGTGATGAAATTGGGTACATCGCCCACTATTACCCTGCCCCAACGCCCAGGCACCAAAGGCCCCAACCGTGGGGAAATGAACCAGGGGTGGCGCAGTGAGGAGACCACCGCCCCAGGGACCCATCCTCCACAATCAGGTCTGTTCTGCTCACCGTGAACCTGAGCCGGCTTCGCCCATTCTGAGCAAAAATTCCTCTGCCCTTTCTAGGGCAAATAAGCAAAAGTTCTATTCTACCTTTCAAAAGGCAGATAAGAGCAGCTTCCTTCAGGCCGGCTGGGTAGGGGTGGTGGGCTGTACCTGCATTGTTGGTTGGATGGGCAACCCTTTAAGGCACTGGTCGACACTGGCGCCACCATCTCCCTGGTGCGTCCAGGAACCCTCAATGATGCCCATTGGGAGCCCACCAGCACGCAGCTGCAGTCAGTAACCGGTCAGAGGATGGGCATAAAGGGTTGGAAGATGGTGAGCGTGGCCATGGGGGATCGCCGGCTTGACCACCAGTTCACCAGTTCGGTGGAGGAGCGGACAGCAAGGGGAGCCCGCCAGCATGCCATGGCCTCAGCCCAGTCAGCCAGCTCACCAACCCAGCCTACTGACACAAGCTGCAACACAGCCCCCATCTGCCCAGCCCCACCATCACAGCCTTGCTTGCCCTCGCCTGAAGGAGTGAGTGCCATCCACGAGCTGTGGCAACGCAGCTGCGGCGGCCTCAGCCCCTCCCAGAACCAGCAGCTGAAAAATTTATTGGCGGACAACACGGACCTCTTTGCTGCCCGCGATGAAGAATGCATCCAAACAGACCTGGTGCAGCACACCATTGACACCGGTGATGCTGTGCCCATCCATCTACTGCTATACCGCTTATCCCTTTCAAGATGACTGGAAGCAGAGGAGAAGGTGAGAGAGATGGCTGCAGCTGGCATCATTGAGCCCTCAGACAGTCCATGGGCAGCCTCTGCCGTCCTGGTGCCAAAAAAGAATGGCGAGTGGAGGTTCTGCGTCAACTACCGGTGCCTGAATGCAGTAACCCGGAAAGATGCCAACCCCCCTCCGCGCATTGATGAGGCACTTGACCACATTGCGGGCTCCAGCTGGTTCTGCTCATTGGACCTCAGCAGTGGGTACTGGCAATTGCCCATGTCCGATGAAGCAAAACCAAACACTGCATTCACCATTGGACAGGGGTTATGACAGTTCAAGGTCATGCCGTTCGGATTGTGTAACGACCCCGCAACCTTCGAGCGGCTTATGGAGAGGGTCCTGTCAGCTGTCCCCCGGAACCGCTGTGTCGTGTACCTAGATGACCTACTGGTTCACGCCAGCAGTTTCAAGGGTGCCCTCGCTAACCTGGGAGACGTGTTTGCTGCAATCCAGCGAGCTGGACTTCGGTTCAACCCCAAAAAGTGCCAGCTGCTCAGCTGCAAGACTGTGTTTCTAGGGCATGTTTGAGTGGGCAAAGGGTGGCCACAGACCCAGCCAAGGTGGCTGCTGTGCATGACTGGCTAATACTGGCAGATGTGGGTGAGCTGCGCAGCTTTCTGGTGAGCTACTATCGGCAGTTTGTGCGGGACTTTGCCTCCATTACCAGCCCACTTCATTGCCTCACATATAAACACCAGCCCTTCGAATGGACTGAGGAACGGGCAGCTGCGTTTGCACAGCTCAAGGCGGCCCTCATCCATGCCCCAGTGCTGGCTTTTCCTGATGTGCAGTGGCCCTTCTTTGTAGACACCGATGCCAGCAACACAGGGGTGGGGGCCGTGCTCTCCCAACAGGATGATGAGGGGGAAAAAGTAGTCACCTTCTACAGTCATGCCCTGAGCCGGGCAGAGCGAAATTACTGTACCAGTCGGAGGGAACTGCTTGCAGCTGTTAAGGTGCTCCACCATTTCCACCCTTACCTGCAAGGCACCACCTTCCGGCTGCACACTGATCATGCCTCACTCACCTGGCTCTTGAACTTTTGTAATCCTGAGGGCCAAGTAGCACGCTGGCTGGAGGTCCTGCAGGGCTACAACCTCACCATCGAACACTGCTCGGGGCACTGCCAGGGAAATGCTGATGCCCTGTCTCGCCACCCCTGTGCTGCATTGGAGTGCGGGCATTGTCAGCGCTAAGATGCATGGGATCAGCCAATTCATGAGGTGGCGGTTGCCCTGGCTTCAGGTGCGGAAGAGGGGCGATTGCTGATGGAACGCCAACAGTTGCAAGAGGCACAGGAGGCAGACAGCACAGTGAGGAAGGTGAGGGGCTGGCTGGAGGCAGGAACACCACCAGCGTGGGCTGAAGTCACGGCAGAAGGTCCAGAGCTAAAGGCCTACTGTAGCCAGTTCCAGCACCTAGAACTGCAGGACGGGCTGGCATATCGGCGGTGGCAGGCATCCGGCCAGGGACATGATATACTCCAGCTCCTAGTATCCTACAAGTTGTGCCTCATAATTCTTGAGCTGGTGCATGGCTCGGTTGGGTCAGGCCATTTTGGCGTAACAAAAACCCTGCATCAACTGAGGGGGTGGTTCTACTGGCCGGGTTGCTGCCGTGATGTAGAGCTCCATGTACTCTGTTGTGACTCCTGCATGGCTCAGAAGGGACCCAGCCGAACATCACATGCCCCCATGCAGCGGTATGTTGTCGGCGCACCAATGGAACAGGTTGGGGTGGACGTCCTTGGGCCATTTCCCACCACCGATGCCCGGAATCTCTACAGTTGCAATAAAAATTATTCAACCCCCGTTGCAAATTAGGTTTACTGGCAAAATTTACAAACTTTCAGCTGTTTGCAATGAACAAATCAAGCAAGAACAATTTAAATGGCTCAACACAACAAATACTACGAGTGGCTTCTCCAAATTCAACACAAAATGCCACTTTTTAATGACAGCTTCTGGCAGCATTCCCAAGGAATCTTAGCCCAGTCCTCATGGACAATGGCCTCCAGTTCACTAATATTCTAGGGTTTGCATGCTGCAACTGCCTTCTTCAAATCCTACCAGAGATGTTTTATGGGGTTCAAGTGAGGCGACTGTGATGGGCACTCTAGAATCTTCCCAGACTTCTTCTGAAACCAAGCCTTGGTGGATGTTGAGGTATGCTTAGGATCATTGTCCTTTTGGAAGGTCCAATGATGCCCAAGCGTCAGCTTCCCTACAGACGGCATGACATTTTCTCCTTGGATATCCTGGAACTTGACTGAATCCATCTTGCCCTCCACACTTTGCAGATTTCCAGTGCTAGAGGAAGCAAGGCAGCCGCAGAGCATCAAAAAGCCCCCACAATTTTTCACTGTAGGCAGGGTGTACTTTTCAGCATATGCTTCTTTATTCCTCTTGCAGACATACCACTGACTCATAAGCCCAAAATATTCCAGTTTTGGTTCATCACTCCACAGAGCAATATCCCCAAACTTCTGTGGCTTATTTATATGGTTTTAAACATGTTAGAGCTTGTGTTTTGGATCAGTTTTGGTGTATGCCTTGGAGTTCAGGCACGGAGACCTTCAACGTTTAGTATGCGCCCTACTGTGCAAACTGAAACTTCAATGCCTCCT